GGAGAAGGACATCATGCTTGGGAGGGTGGAGGGACAGCGCAGGAGGGGAAGGCCCTCTATGAGGTGGATTGATTCAGTGACTGGGGTAATTGGGAGTGTCAGAGACAGTGCGACTGGCACAGGACAGAGCAGAGTTTAGGGATGCTGTACATAGGGTCGCTATGAGTAGCAAGCGACTCAACGGCACATAACAACAACATTACTGTCATGACAGGAGTCCAGAATGAAGGCTGCAGTGGAGTGGATTTGAGAGAAGGGATTATATAGCAACGAAAGAATTTTTCTTCTACTTTTCAAAGAGAAGAGCGAATTGGGTGGGGGGGAAGGTGGGCAGCGAGAAAAGTTAATAATAAATTAGTAATAAAGAAATTAAAAGAAGAGTGTGGTTCTAGTAAACTTTTAGGTGGGAGCCTTGGCTGGGTCATTTGATTGCTCTAACTTGGTCCCTCCTTTTAATCTTGAAGGGAGGCGCGAGGGCTGGCAGGCTTGTGTGCCCCTGGCATATTGTCTATGTGATCCTTTTATTATTCATTTTAATGAGCATTTACAGAGACTTTCATTATTGCATTTTTCTCCCTGCCCCCCTCCCCCCTAAATTCGCTCTTCACTTTGAAAAGTAAAAGAAAAATTCTTTCATTGGTATATAATCCCTTCCCCCAAATCCACTCAACTGTGCAGCCTTCATTCTGGACTCTTGTCAGGGCACTAACACCTAGTCATGTGTCGCTTTTAATCAGTTTTCTCCCTCATCTTTTTCAATGCAGTATACATTATTTATTCCAACTTTCTCAGTCTCCCCACAACAGAACCACTCTTTTTAATAGCAACAACTCCAGTACCACTACCATTCATTGGGCCCAAATCACACACTACACTCAGCAATGTAATGAGCATCTGCATCTTTAAGGGTCATAAAGCTCCCATTTAAGTTCCTCCATCTGCCAAGACTGAAGCTTGACAGATCAAATAAGTAATTAATGGTACCCTGCTGTTAACTGTCCAAACCAAAATGTGCACCTGGTCAGCCTGACTCTCAAACTTTGCTCACACCCACAAATCCTATCATGTATTAAGGAGCACTTTGGAGCCTATGTAAGAACAGAGGCAGGTTCCACCTCAGGGCTTGGACTCCTACTTTGTTTTCCTTACCCCGAAGCCGATTCCTTACCTGTTCCTGCTGTTTTGTTTCTCAGCCACCTCAGAGAAGGCCTCAGGCCTGTGCAAAAGAAAAAGGTAGAGTCAGAAAAGGCAGTAAGCCCCTCTAACAATTACAAGATTAGGGAGTCAGTTCCTCCAGAAGCCAGGGCACCAACAAGGAAGGGGGGGCAGCCTACCAGAGCCCCTCCTTTTGTAGAGCGCGCACATGGTCCTTGTAGAGCACAAATGAGATCTCAGCCTTCACCTTCTCTCCCTCCTCAATGGGGTCAACGATGAGAAAGTCTCCTGCAGAGAGAGGAGAGGTCAGGTCAGTCCTGACACAGGGCCTGGCGGAGGCCAATGTCAGGGCCAATGGCTGTCTCCCAGCAAACAAGTTGTCTCCCAGCAAACAAGCTGGCTCACCTCTCTTGATCCAGATGTTCTTTCTGTACTTGGAAGGCATGCTCACAAGGAAGCGCTGTCCCTGGGCCGTCTCCACTTCATGCAGATTGTTCCCTGGGGTCCTGAGTACCTAGTTTGGGCGGGAGGGAGATGCCCTGTCATCATCAGACAGTTCAATATACCAACACCCGCACCCAAGCGTCCAACAGGGATGGTGGGGGCACTCACCCTCACAATCTGCTGCTGGTCGGAGGGCACCACGTGCTCCCCCAACACCTCCTTCACCACATGCTTCCTCTTCGTGACCTGAGACATGGTGCGTTGAGTTCTGGCGTGTGAGGGATGCAGCCTCTCAACTCCTTCTGAGTTCTCTGACTGGCGGGCTCAGAGCTCAAGGCGATTTAGAAGATGAAGAGGGAATTGTCACTGAAAAGTGAAAAGATGCTGGTGAAAATACGGCCTACGAAGTCTAAGTGCTCACTCTCAAGTCTGTCTTGGCTGTTCAGCCTTTCTAGGGCGTAATGAGCAAACACACACATAGTGCGACTGGCACAGGACAGAGCGGAGTGTAGGGCTGTTGTACATAGGGTCGCTATGAGTCGCAGGCGACCCGACGGCACATAACAACAACAATGAGCAAACAACCCAAACACTGAACTCGCAGCAGCTTAGAATGAGATAATTCAAGTGCAACGCTTGCTAAGGTGCGGGGAATGTTTGAAGGCTCGAGACCCACTTATGCTGTAAGCACTGGTGTAACCACAAAACTACATTCGCGTCCTAGAGAAATCCTATCTCTGACATCCGCATACAGCCCAACGAGCCACAAATTACTCAGGAGCCGACTGTGATGGAGTAAACATTAACCATCACCGAGTTTCCGAAGAACAGGCTCTGGCGCCACTGCTAAATCCCCTTCCCCTGCTCCCTTACCCCGGGAGATCGCACACTACCCCGACTCTCTCCTCTTCCACAGATGTTAGCTCAGTGGGCTCGTCCTCCACGTTGGACGTTAGTGCAACTCGTCCACGATTAGCTTCGCAGAACAGCCACCAAAGGCCTGAAGAAGGGGCTCACCGGACGTTAAGGAGGTGGAGTTGCCTTGATCTCAGCTCTGTCTTGATTCCCAGCCGACCGACTCCATCAAATACGTCTCGGCGGGACACTTCCGGATTACGTACTTCCGGTGTCTCCCGGAAGTAACCGCTACTCCCCGCCCCCCGGTCCTTCTCTCTAACTCTTCCCACTGCCAAGACGGAGGCCTTGAGTTCCGGGTGCTGAGCAGCCGGGCAAGGAAATATCCATTTTCGAGGCCTCTGCTATGAGACCGATGGGCCGTCTGAGGAGCGAGACTACAAAAGGCGAAGTGACCGGAAAGGAACACCCACTAAAGGGGAGGTGAAGTACTACAGAGTCGTATTTCTGTCGCTCTTGGTGGCCAAAAGTGCCCAAATTGGGTGGCGGCTTTTGAGACGAACCGGAAGCGGAAATAGAAGAAAGTTCTAGCGCTTGAGGTAGCGGCGGGAGCAGCCGGCTGGCGGGAGGAACCGTTACGAGAGAGCTGCTGGTGAGCGCGCGCCGCGGGGCAGCTTTAATCTTTTGGGGCGGGAGGCCCGAGAAAGCGCGGGAAGGCAGAGCGGAGAGAGGTCGTGAGAGCGCGGTGGCGGGCTTGGAGTGCGCTCTCCGGGAGG